AGTTAAGGGGTGAGGAAATAGACAAGTTAGGTCAAGTTAATAGGACATATTGAAAGTGAAAATAACAATGAAGATCACTAAACCAAATAACAAAGGTAATAGTACATCAGTTATGATATCAAAAGAAAGTTTACTATCTTGATCATCGTTCGTCAGTCTGGGGTCACTTTCCGTTGTCAAGTTGGTCAATTGGTAAAGATAACAAAACCAGGTGTAGATTGTTGGATTTGATCAGTGTGTAAAATTATAAAACCAGTGTGTGTTAACATAGTGAACTTGCTTATCACATTCGTGTTGATTTTGTCGCTTCATGGGGGAGGGGAGGGAGGTGTTGTAACCAGGTCAGATTCTGTTTTAGTCCATCATTTAAGCTATGTTATAACTGTTATTTTTTGTCTTTCCCCTCACCATGCCACATCAACAGAACATGCTAAAATTTTTAAACAGAATCAACAATACTATTCGAATTCGTACCTCGAATATTTTTGACTTTATTCCGTAAATGTGGAAAAATTCCTCTGGTTAATTTTGTTTTTATTGTCGTTACAATAAGGCCAGTTATGCGGCAGATACATTTTTAACGTAGAATAACAGATTAGTTATGGGGTGTCAAAATAAATAGTCGTATTTGTGTGACAAACGTGCTAGGCTGAATTCGATTACAAAATAATGTAAAACGGGAGACAATGGTGATTAATCAATTTTCCTACCCCCACTCTACAAATCTATTATGATTAATCACCATTGTCTCCCGTTTTACATTATTTTGTAATCGAATTCAGCCTAGCACGTTTGTCACACAAATACGACTATTTATTTTGACACCCCATAACTAATCTGTTATTCTACGTTAATAATTTTGTTTTTAATTTTATTTATATTTTGAGTAAATTAGATAGAATATTGTGACAAATGCTGAGAATCCCATTCTGTATTATAAGTACTGTTCATAGAATAAAGTAGATTATTATTATTATTACTGTACGCTTAAATTAATTGAATAATTTTAGATCCTGAAGAAGAGGAATTTATTGAAAGTGACAATTGTTCGCTTGAACTGGCTTTGTTCTGAACTAAATATTTATGATAATAGGATGAAATGCGCATTTTGGATTCCACACTACTAGTCACCATTCACAAAGTTACTTTAAGATCAATTCTTAGACACATTTAAAGCAGTTGAAATATCAGTAGAAGCCGAACAATGTAGTCCAGTCAATCAAGTGCGAAATCAAAATTCTATTTAAACACATAATATAGCTGATGACATTTATTTCCCGATACGAATTTAAAACAAGCAACAAATGTGGTTAATAAAGCAGGATTCAGTGGTGGATTCATCAAATTTTGGCAGAACTCTTCTTTAGCTCAATAATGACTGCTTTTCATGTTTTAACACGAATGATGTCCTCAAGTGTCTTCAATCTCTCAAACCTACCCAGTCCCTTGGTCCTGATGGAGTTCCTGCTGTTATCCTTAAGAAGTGTGCTGACATCTTATGTTACCCATTAACTGACATTTTCAATGAATCTTTTTCCAAAAGTTTTATTCCTGACTCATGGAAAAATATCAAGGTTGTTCCAGTGCCCAAATCAACAAGTGGACCTACTGTCAAGTTTAGACCCATTGCTATTACCTCACCTTTTTTAAAAGTTATGGAAAGACTTATTTTACTTAATCTTGAACCCTCTTTAAAGCCTTTTAACGACCCCAACCAGTTTGCCTATAAACATAGTAGGTGTACCCTAGATGCCGCTGTAGTTCTATATCATAATATAGTCTCTAGTTTAGATAGAGGAGCCAAATATGTTCGGTGTGCCTTCCTTGATTACACATCTGCATTTGACTCTGTACCTAGGTCTCTCTTGTTAAGTAAGCTTGCTGCAACACAGAGTGAGAGCTGGATAAATAAGTGGTTGTATTCCTACTTTTCTGATAGGAAGCAGTACACTGTCTACAATGGAAAGTCCTCCTCTACCTCACTTACTTTAGCTGGTGTTCCTCAAGGTGCCGTTCTTTCTCCTTTTCTGTTTTCTTTTTTCTTACATGACTTGCCCCATTCTGATGTAGCCACTTTTGTCAAGTATGCTGATGACCTCTCTGTCTCCATGCCTGTCAACTCTCAGTCAGACTGTTCCATATTAAATAACTTTCTCTCGGAAATTAGTCAGTGGTCCTCTTCAAACGGTCTTAAGCTGAATCCGTCTAAATGTCAGGTAGTAAATTTTACTTTCAGACGAAAAAGTGACCTTCAACAACTAGCTAGCTCACATGGTCCCACTATCATAGACGGCATAGAGGTTGAAACTACATCAGATGTCAAGTACCTTGGACTGAGTATTTCCTCCGATCTTTCCTGGTCCTCTCACATCTTGCTAGTGACTAGAAAGATGTTTCGCTTAACGTTCTACCTTAGGAAGTTTAGGCAGTCTGGTATAAAGCAGTCTTTACTTTCTCAGTTTGTCAATTCCTGTATTCTACCCATCCCTCTTTACTGCTCCCCATTAATCTTTCCAGGACTACTTAAGAAAGACTTTGCTTCGCTGCGTAGGGCACTAAAAGCTGTTAGTAGGGCAAGTGGGATATCGTTAAACCAACTGGTTAACACCATAGTGGATAGACATATAATGTCATGTAAGAAACTAGCGAATACTATATTGTCAGACCCTGAGCATCCTCTCTATACACAGCTCTCTCCTTGCATATCATCTGGTAGAACTAGAAGTAACTATAGGAAGCTATATGCCAGGACTACCAAGTATAAAAACTCCACAATACCTTATCTGGCACAGCTGTTATGTGATGAGAAAACTGTTAGGCATGACATGATCAATTTACTGCGGCACTCTAACAAATAGTTCCCATTAGCTTTTGTTCTCCTTTCTTTGTTACTATTATATTGCTGCTCATATATTCTATTACAGACTAATTTTATATATCGTATCCTGTGGTGCACTGTTTAAATATGTGAATGTAATGCTGTTCTTTTTTATTTTATTTCTTTATTTCTCTTTTTCTTTTTGTTGTTGTTGCTTTATATTTCTAAATCCTTATAAAATTTATGAGGTAATTAGATGCAATATTGTAATGAACGCTGAAAATTCCATACCTGTACCACAAATACTGTTTGGAATAAAGCCATTATTATTATTATTATTATTATTATTATTATACACGGATATATGTACTTTTGAAATTACATTGGGCGATATAAGTCTGATAAGCAAATAAACTACATTGAATTAGTCATGCAGGAAGACAGTTGCGAATGTTTTCCAGGTAATGTTCAAATAGATAAGCGGAAAGGGAGTATGAGAGATCAAAATTAGGAAAAAATGCATCATACGCTTCAATTAATTCACTTAGATAAACAATTAGTCATTAGAGAATATAACAAGAATTGCAAACAGAATAATATCAATAGTAATAGTTATAATAACAATAATAATAATGCTGAAGTGAGTTAAGATAATGCTACTGATAAAGGATAGTTTCAAATGAATCAAGAATAATAATTATAATGATAATAATAAGAGGTAGAATAATAAGTAAGATGTATTACTATGGTAGATCCAGGGGGACGACCGTCTCCTTTTGTACACAGAGACCTGGTTTATAAACTAGAATTGCACAAGCCTCTGTAACTGTAAGCATCTTCTTGTTTCTTCATCTGCTGACAATAGTGAATGACTGGACGGCATCAATATCATGTCCGTAGTCCACAAAATGTTTTGTTATTGAGGATTTCGGCACTTTGCACCCAGCTGTTTTCAACCATTTTGACAAATGTGAGTAGACAATCGCCTTTCTGTGTGACCTATGTATTTGCTTCCACAAACACACTTAAAATGATATACGCAGCAGTTTAAAATGTCGAGGATTGGCGACTAGTCTTTCCCAGATGGTTGAAGCACTCACTTAGTGGTGTTAAGGAAAACAAGTTTTGCAGCATAATAAGTTCTCTTGATGGCTTTGTCGAGTCTTCATTTGATTACTTCCTGTACATCATCTCCTTTGAACGGCAAACTGATATAGACAGATTTATTCGGAACTGTTTGGATTGTTTTGCAGGGGCTAATTTCTTTAGAGTATTTATTAAAGAACTTCTCATGATATCCATTATTAGATAAAATATCCTTCAGAGATTTTATTTTATGCTCAATAGTACTGTCAAAACAAATTTTTCGTGCTCTGTTTACCAGTGTTCTGACTAAGTTCTTTTTATACTGGATCGGAACTAATTCAATGTAGTTTGTTTACTTATCAGTCTTATATTTCTCAATGTAATTTCAAAAGTAAATATATCCGTGTATGTAGAGTATTCAGCTGACGAGTTCTACCGAAATTTGATGAATACATAATATAAGTGATGACCATTGCACAAGAAGCAGCTTTCATGGCTGAAGTTGCGTTTAAAATGATGGGTACTGGGTTCGAGTCTCAGTGGGGACGTCGTCAGTCTCAGGGAAATATTACTAAATACTAAATTGCTCCATGACTTTCAAGTGTTCGTCTGTTGGCATTTTATCATGAGCTGACATCGGTTAGAGAACCAGTGGAAAACCAGCTGGTAATACTGGACATCTGTTTTGCCAGCCTGGTTTTGGATTCTTTAGCTATACACAACTGATCAGTGCTGTAAAGCAGGACGGGTGTAGGGACAGATACTCCTCACAGACGACATTGGCTAGTGCCAGTCTCGCAATATCTTCAATCGCTAGAATACATCGGGTCCCAGAGGCTGAATGATGTTGTACTAGCTCACCTTGTAACCGGAAGGCCTTGGGTTTGAACTCTGGTGGAGGGTGGGTGCGTACTGCTGAAGGAGAGTCCCAATCTAAGCCAACGAAACAGTTAGCTGTCTGACAATACTCCCAGGTGGTTTTCCAATGGTTCTTTAACCAATGTCAGGGCATGAAGAAACCCTACCACTTGACTATCACGTCATCAACGAACTTCATATATATATTCCAAAAAAAACCAAAAGTAAATAAACTTACACAGAAGAATCACATTGTTTTTCTATGGGAATACACTTTTTCATTGTATGATTAAACATATACCCATCAATACATACACATTCATAATCATAGGCATAAGCAGAACCAAGCAAAGAACGTAAATTTGATGGAATCAACTTCAGCGGTTCACTACTCGGTAGGATAAGACATAAACCATTACTATTAATACTGACATCACAAACATCTGGTTTACGACATGGATTTGGACAATATAAATGGGTATCCTGTAAAAATGAAAGAAATATATAAATGTAGATAACCGTAATCATTTCAGGACCAAGACTTAAAAAAATTAATCTGATGGTTACTAACGACTTGATGTGCACAGAGAAAGTTCTACAGGAGTTCTAGTGACAAGTTGTGATCAGCTGAATCCACCAAGTCAGGTGAGAGAAGAATTACTCACCGATGACACACTGGTATGGTGACTGCACAATATATGCATCACGAATCGGTTGAGGCTGAAATACATCGGCGATTTGGTCGGGCCCCAGTGGTTGAATTGTCCACGAGCTTAGATTGTAATTGGGATATCCTGTGGGTGAGTAATGCTGAAGTGGAGTCCCAAGATGGAACGAAATAAATGTTTTGTACTCCCTAGGGATCTTCCAATGGTTCCGTAAATGATATCCACTAGTGATTCCTTTTTATTCCTGTACGTCCCCAGTGGAACATAGGGCTTCAAGCTAGAGCTTTGAAGTTTCGGTAGCAATGGTGTTTACTTTTACGGGATGCTAGCCTCATTCCCAACCTTCCTTCTTTACCAGTCTTATTACTGGTTTAGCAAGGTAAAGGAGTGCATCAGTCGGGGATCGAACTCCGAACCATCTACATAGTTGGCGAGCATTCTACCGCTCTGCCACCAACACACACTAGTAATTAATAGTAAAAATAAGAATTATTGGAGAGAACAGTCCTTGCCCTCAATAAATTCTTCTTCTTCCTCAGGTTCTACAATTAAAAATCCATTCTAGTGTTAGTATACAAGAGTGTCTTTCAAGGAAAATTAGAAATATATACTTGAATGACATCACAGTTAACTGTGGTAAAACCGCCGAATGCTACGGAAATCCTTAAGCCTACAAAGTTAATCTGTGAGTGAGTGAGTTGTTTGGTTGGACTACATGCCACCCTAACTAATTCCAGCTTCATTGAGAATCTTACCTTATACCTCTGATACTCCTTCCTTTTATAAGGCGGCAGTACTACATAAAAATTTAACCGGACGTAGACTGACTGACCCTGCTATGTTAAATAATCTACAAAAACAGAGCTCAGTCATTGTATTACACTTCTAGTGAAAAGGAATGATGGCACAATAGAAAGATCTATATTTAGAAAGTCTTCATGCACAGGACAGTACATACATTTCAAGAGCTTTGTTCCAATGCATTATGAAAAGAACTTAGGATGAATATTAATTGGTAAAGCACAAAACATTTGTTATAACAATGCGATTAAACATAAACTAAAGACTCTGAAAGATATTTCATCTAAGAATGGATATCCTGAGAAGTTCATTAATAAATACTCTGAAGAAATGAGACACTGTAATACAATCCAAGCGGCTCCAAAGAAATCTGTACACGTCAATTTTCCACTGAAAGGAGATGATGTACAAGAAGCGGTCAAACAAAGACTTGATAAAGCTATCAAGAGAACTTAATACACTGCGAATCTCGCCTTACTGAACACCACCAAGTGAGTGTTTCAACATTCTGGCAAAGACAAATGTTCGCCGATCCTCCACACTTCAAACTGCGTATATCAATTTGAGCGTGTTTGTAGAAGCAAATTCATAGGTCATGCAAAAAGGCGATTGTCTACTCGCATGATGGAGCATTTGTCAAGGTGGTTGAAAACAGCTGAAGTCAAATTCCCTAATAGTTCAATAAAGAAGTACACTGTGGACTACGAACATGATATTGACGCCGTCCAGTCATTCACTGTTACTGTTAGCAGACAAAGAAACAGGAGGATGCTTGCAATAACAGAGGCTCGTGCAATTCGAGTTTATGAACTAGATCTCTATGTACGAAAGGAGACGGTCGTCACTCTAAATCTACCATGGTCAAACATCTTACTTATTATTCCACCTCTTATTATTATTATTCTTGATTCATTTAAAACTATCCTTTATCAGTAGGATAATCTCAACTCACTTCAACATTATTATTATTATAATAACTATTACTATTGATGTAACTCTGTTTGCAATTCTTAACGTATTCTCTAGTGACTAATTGTTTATTTAAGTGAATTAATTGAACCGTATAATGCATTTTATCTCAATTTTAATCCCTCATACTCAATTCCCCCACTTATCTATTTGAACATGACCTGGAAAACATTCGCACCTGCCTTTATACATGACTAATTCAATATAATTTATTTGCTTATCAGTCTTATATCTCCGAATGTAATTTGAATAGTATATATATCCGTGTATGTAGAGTATTCAGCTAAGGAAGATCTCTACCGAAATTTGATGAATCCATCATTAAATCCTGCTCTATCAACCTTTGTTGCTTATATGACATTTCATTCACCTGTCTGTGATCACAGAATAGGATGATGGGAGAAGGGTGAGTGTATTAAAAAGGGATATAGCTAGGTGAAATCAGACACAGAGTGGTTATTCACTGGATTTTTGTGTTGATCGATTCAACACCGATTACGTGGAATCGGAATGATGCAACGTCTATACCGGAGATATGGAAAGTGGCAACAAACAACAAACTTGGGAAGTGGAAGAGAGAGACAATACAAACATAAGACAAATTGTGAAGCCGTGGGACTACAGCGATATGATTGAGTAACAATAATTTATGCTTGAAACATTGTCATCCAGATGATAATACTGCATCATCACTGTGTGATATTTAATAAATAAACTTATCTAATATGGAATTACATTCCACCATCTGCCTGCGTTCTATCTCCCGTGTGAAATGGTATGATAGGGTGAGCAATATTGAAGTTAGGCTTCGTCGAGTGCTAGGCAAGGAGGGGAATTAAATCGACGAGGCTGTGAAGTTACACCGATTGAGATGATTAGAACAGGTGTTGCACACGCATGCCTAGCTATCGGCTTCTTCGACCGACGGGCAATGTTAGCTGACATAGGGTCAGACTGGAAAAGACCCAAACCAAAACATGGCACCAGTCAATGAAATCCACAACAGTTAGTTTAAGCCAGCCACGTAGGAAGATGTAGACTTCCTGTCCGGGGTCCTCGAGACGATAAACACCAATGAAGGCTGGAGACAAATGATGATATGGCTCAAAGAGATCGTTCTCAATGGCTGGCGCAGATGCGTCCACTCCTTGTGACTTATAATACCCAATAAAAAAACCATATTGTTCTTCGATATTACTATTCTTTTTGCCACATATCTCTATTTACTGTCGCTATTTTGCGTTTCATTTTACTTTCTACTCTTGTTTTATGTACTACATGGGGTGTGACGACTTGAACCGCTGCACATTGGTGCAAAGTTCTGTGTCGAAATCAGTCAGTCAGTCACATTCCACCACCACAGTGTGTCCAATTTTTACACTTACATTAGCATAACAATGAACCACCCCAAAAGGCAATACATCAAACACACTTCTACTTACATTTTTACGTAAACACTGGCAAATATTTACAAAGAATGATAAGATATTCAAGTAACCACCATCATAATGTTTTGCTGTCCGCGTAAACAGATTTCTTAAAGATGTGGCAAATCGTTTTTCATAGTCTTCCTGTGTGAATTCATATACCATATCAGTAAAACTTTTATGTTCAGCTTCGGGTGTACAAATTGTTCTACATAAAATGTTTTGTGTTTGAAAAAAGTGAAAAGAAAAAAGAAAATTATTAAAAAAATAAATATAGATTAAATGATGTAATAACATGAAAGTAAAACAGACACATTCTTACCAGGATTGGACACTAGTAACTGGTGTGATGTGTCTAGTCCTGACTTTGGTGCAGACTGAACTCTCTTAGTCAGGTGTGCAGTGTGGCCACTATTCTAGGTAACTCGAAATCACAGTGGTTGGAGGCAATCGGCAGGAAGACTTGGACCTAGGTTTCGAGCTAGCTGGCACTCGTCATGCTTACTATAATATCTTATTGTTATCTACGTAGTGATGCCGGGTTGTGGATGTCGTCTAACATGACTATTATTATTATTCCCATAAGTTCCAAATGGAACATAAGGCTTCAACAACACATTTTCTGCTGTCCTCTTTAGATGGGCCCACGAACCCCATTTTCTCTCATCTCCACTATATCACCCTCGGGAAACCCACTCGTCTTTTCCTAATCAGATTCCACTAAAGCGTGAGATCTCATTCGACGGTCTCCTCAGTGTATGAGCAATCCAACTCCATATTCTCCTACATATTTGCTGAGCGAAAGGTTCATGGTTAGTTTGTGGTCAGAGTGTCTTGTTTCTAATTCTTTCTGGCTGGCCATTTGATGTTGAGTATGGAGCTAAGGAAGTTATGGATAAAAGTCTACAGTAGGATGTTGGAAATGATATTCACGATGTGCTCGCCAATTTTCTGACCTATGAAGAGGAACTGACTTACTGACTTCACATTGATATTAAATATCCAAACCTTGTTGTTCATGCAGCTGAATGCATTGCAAAAGATTTACAAATTGATTTCAGACTGGTGAAGATGTAACCTGCCTTACCTATTCTAGCTGGTATTGACATCTTCATCCGTTCCGAATGCCTTTGGTTGAAACGATGCTTGTTGGCTAGATAAGTGAAGGAAGTAACCTGTTTCAAATTTCTCCCGTCGATGGTGATCGGTACTAGTAGCTGTTGTTGCTGTTGGTTGGTTACAGCCAACTCCGCGACTGGAAATCAAACCCAGGCCTTCTACGCGGCAGGCGGAGATAATCACCACTCTACAATCGAGAATTCAGACTGACTGTTTGTTCATTATTCCTAAGGAGAATTAAAATATCTACCCGATGTCGTATGTTAGTCAGATATCTCATGTGATGGCGCTCTCCAAAGATATCCTTCCACTTAATCTCAGACTTTTCGTTATGTGTGTTCAGAAAACCTTGAAACAAACGCTTCCTTCTTTTTGTTCTTCAAATGTATATATGCTTCAGCAGAGCTCTATGTTAGTTAAATTCGTTTTAGGAAATAAATGTTTTCAAAACTAGGATTAAACAGGGCTATATAGTGCTCCCCCTTTTTCTAATGATTTTCTGGCCAATATTGATTAGTTACGGAATCTACACTGAAACTCATAAATTGTTTCGAATTAGACATGATAACACTGAACTTTAATTCACTTTGGTGAGACTTTTCACTTTATTTCTGGTCAGTTTGTCGACTATTTATAGTTGTATTTTAAAAAAATCCCCACTCAGATATTAAGAAGACAAAAGGAACTTCCTCGACAAGTTCAATGATACGTATTCAGCAATAAACTCCACCACAGAGGAAAAAAGTATCGACAGTATCTCAATCTTAGACGTCTTCCAAGCCAGGAAAGACGATGGTACACGAAGAAGGAGTGTGGATAGGAAAGCTGCAGCAACAGCTCAGTACACTCATTCTCTGAGTTTCGTACCTTTGAATAATCTACCCAAACCACTTCTTCAATGAAGAGCTTAAGGTTATTAGAGAATTACTAAAACAAACCAGTAGGGCAACATCAGGTGCCAAAAAACCATTGTTCATAAAATTACAGTCTCTGTGTGATAACATCAGAGAAATAGTAATACAAGGCCTGAAGAATGCAGTTAAAAGAGAATTCAATGCAGGTACCAGGTACGTTGTCTCTTCACTGCCACCCCTATTCTACGTTTGAGAAATAAGGATAAACTACTTAATCTCACCTCTTCTGTGCATATCTATCAGTCTGACTGTTTCTATGGAGCAAGTTACATTGGGCGTAAACTTAGGCAAGTTCATCATCGCATTTCCGAACATCATCCAGCATGGTTAAGAAGGGGGCAAACGGGATCTATTCGCAGCTCTATTTTAGCACACCATGTAGACAATGAGCATAAGGTTGACGTTATTACGACACTTAAAATTATTTATCGCATTCCTACTAATTTTAATTTTGCTTTACAAGATCGTCTTCTACATACGGCTGAAACTGCTGGAATCCATTTAAAGAATCCAAACTTGCGTGTTTAGAAGAAATTCCTACAGTGACTTTCTTCATCTTTGCCATCGTTATATGAATGTATAAACCGGACTACTTCTCTCTCCACTATCCCCCAAACCTTTTAAAAAGTATGCTTGTCCAAATTATTTTATTACTTCTCTGACCATTTCATTTTTAATTACAAGTTAGCATTGTCTAAATCGCTTTATTTTTCCTTGATTATGTATTACGCAATCAAGCTGAACATCCATCTATCCCTTAATCAATCTTCATTTCTTCTAAGATTATGCATTATGCAATCCACTTGTTGCAACCATTTCTACTCGTTAATCCGTGTATTACTTATTATTACGTTTAAGTAGGCATATCATATTCTATAAATTTTTCGAAACAGTTTATACAGTGCATAATTAATAACTGGGTGAAAATCCGAGTGGTTTCAACACTGATTCAGTCGGTGAAGATCTCTGCTCCAGAGTGAATGAAACCACCATCCAGAGCTATTTAGATCGCTGCGAAGTTCAGCAACAGCGTTTAAGGAGTGAGAACGATCCAGTGACCTTGAACACCTGCTAGTCGTTGACTAAAGACACCTACCATTATTCCAGAGCAAAAATGAACGCTGTTCATGAACTCAGGTGCAAATTTCACCCAGATCACGTTTTTAAATACTGTTAGGACAATGTGTTAATAGCTCGTTAGCGTCAGGATTGCGGTTAAGTTAGGCATTAGTGTTAAGGTTAGGATCAGGGTTATAATTAAGATTGCAGTTAGGATTACGTTTAGGGTAGGGGTTAGGGGAAAAGTTCAACAATAGCTTCCCAAGGGATGTGAACGCACGAGTGGCCTTCAGTTGACCAATCATAAAAGTAAGTGACTTTTCCACAAAAAATGACATATAATTACAAGAATACGCATGGAAACACGCTGGACAGGTTATCTTTCTCTGACACGACTTAAAAATACGTCCCAGTTATAATGAGGAGTATCAGTTGCCAAGTTAGACTAGTTTCTGTACATGGGTATTCACCGAAGTGACCAAAGATGAGCTGTTTTGTGAATCGTTCATCTTTTTTATCCTGTTGTACAGTCTTCCGCAAAAGCCCTCAGTTGAATTACTATGGTTTCCAGTAAGGGGATCGACGACTGCTTATCAAGAAAATGTGGATGATAAAACAAATTAAAATAAATGGCATCAACCATAAATCTATCCCAAATCATAACCCTTACTTTAATCCTAACCCTAATGATAACCCTTATATAAACCGTAATTCTAATCCTAATGCTAATTATAACCTTGATCCTAACTCTAACCCCGATACTTACCTTAAGCCTAATCCTAACCCTAATAAGCTATTAGCACATTGTCCAAACAGTACTTAAAAACGTGATCTGGGTGAAATTTTGCTGCAAGGCTTTTATATTTCAGCTATGATAATGACAGGTGCCTTTAGCCAACGACTAGCATGCATTCAAGGTCATTGGAGTGTTCGCACCGCTGGTACGCTATTGTGGAATTTCACTGGGTTAGGGTCAAGATTAGAGTTAAGTTTACGATAACGGATAGGTTCAGATTTGGTATTATTTATTTTGATTTGTTTTATCACCCATATTTTCCCGGTAAGTAGTCGTTGATCCTCTTACAGGAAACCATAGTAATTCAACCGAGGGCTTTCGGTTGGTCGGTTTTCGACATAGAACTTTGCACATATGTGCGGCAGTTCAAGTCGCCACACTCCCTCGTTGTAGCACACAAAGCAAGAGAAGAAAGTAGGAGAAATGCATAATACAGAGACAGTAAACAGAGGTGTGAGACAAAGGAGTAGTAATAACGAAGAACAAAACAGTTTAATTGGAAATCATAAGTCACAAGGAGTGGATGCATCTGCACTATTCATTGAGAACGATTTTGAGCCATGTCACCAATTATTTCCAACCATTGGTTTTCACCGTCCCGATGACCCCGACCAGTCAGGAAGTCTACACCTTCCTACGTGGCTTAGACTAACTGTTGTAGATTTCATTTACTGGTGCCATGTTTTCATTTGACTGCTGTTAGCTCTTTTCCAGCCTGACCCTATGTCAGCTAACATTGCCCATTGTCGGGGAAGGCGATGACTAGGCATACGTAACACATGTCCTAACCACCTCAGTCGATGTAATTTCACAGCTTTGTCGATTGATTTCCCCCCCTCCTTACCTTACACTCGACGCCTAACCTCAATATTGCTCACCCTATTATACCACTTCACGCGGGAGATAGAGCGCAGACACCTATGATCAAAGACAGCTAATCTTTTCATGTCTTCCACTCTCAATGGCCAGGTCTCACAGCCATAAAGGAGGACGAAACGGATTGCTGAGCAGTACACACGCCCTTTGGTTGATAGTTGGATATCACGTCTATGCCAGAGACGGCGTAAAGTGGCATTTGCCAAACGAGCCTTCTGTATTCGTACTGAGATTTCGTCAGAGATCAATCCGTTGAGGCTATTGTTTAACTTTGCCTAGATTGCTTCAATCTGGCCAGCTGAAAAGCTCGAGCGGTTAATTTTCTGGTGAGTAATATCTAACAAAATATCTAATTCAGCCAGAGTAGCTTGTGAAACTTACTTAAATGAATTTGGTATCCAATAACCTTCTTTAATGTATAAAGGTGGTTCATAATTTGCCATGTATAAATATTGCCAACTTTTTTCATCTGGCCAATCAGATGTCCAATCGCTCATTTGAGATAAAGTAATGTATTGAACACTCATTGGTATACCAAAATTACTTCTTGCTTTTAACCATGTGCCGGGAAAGTAAACTTTTAAACGTTTCGCTGAATAAATTTCTTTCGATCTTAATAATATTAATAACAATAATAATAATGATTTTAGTTTAATTCCAGTGTGAAATGACTTATGCAAATTCATTTTATATTCAATAATATACATAAACATGATTTCTTGAAAACAGATGCTATCAAGATCTTCGATAGCTTCTCTCTTTTATCCAAGGAAGTAAGTAGCAGGAGGAGGAGCAGACGTTTATGACAATAGGCAAGCTATTGTTAAAATATGCGTATTTTAAATTCAAGGTCAATCGATAAAAATGCATCGATTTTTGCCTTTATATTGAATCAGTGGAGATACCATAATGGAAGAGATTACTAGCTCAACTAGATCATATTAAAAAAACAAGCCAGAAAAGGTGTTAATAAAACAAGATTTAATGAATTCACACAATTTCGGCGGAAGCACTCTTCATCAGCTGAATACTCTATATACAGAGATATATACACAACCCATAAGAATTACATTGGGAGATTTAAAACGGGACATTATACACACTTTCACAGCTTCGTTCCCATCAATTACAAAAGAAATTAAGTGAAGACCCTTAGCCACAGAGTTAGAGCTATATGCTCTGAAGAAGTAATTAAAGATGAATTAAGCATGGTATATGATACTTTAATCGAAAATGGTTATCCTGACAAATTTATCAAGAAACATATGACAAAGAAAGCCGAAAAGGACTACCCACTATCTGTAAACAAGAAGCCTTAATATATATGACTACAGTTCATGGGCGAAATACCAAGCGAGTTAATTACGAAGAAATTAAGAAAATCAGTTCAAAGAACTTTTAGTGCTGGTGAACTACACGTATTATTCTCTACATGACCGATGCTGCTACCTCGACTGAAAGATGAAGTACCTAGACTAGCCACTTCAAATTGTATTTATCAATTCAACTGCGCTTGTGGAGCGAGTTATATTGGCCGTTGCTCTAGGAACTTGATTTTTCGTGCTCGAGAACATATCCCACTATGGCTAAGTAAAGGTGTAGTTAAAACTATTAACAGCTCGATATTAGACCATCTGGTGCAAACCGGTCACAAAGCCAGCGTAGAAGAATCCTTCTCTATAATATACTGGGTGCCTAACAAACCGCCAAAATCGTCGAAGCACCGCATGCTCCAAACAGCAGAAGCTATTGCAATTCGCCTCAAACAACCAGTGCTCTGTGTCCAAAAGAAACAAGTCCAGCCTCTACTGCTGCCCTGACCCTCAGTAGAGACTATAAACTCATGAATTTGTGCTATTACCTTTCCTGATTCTCCTGACATTCAGTTTATTTTATGTTGATGCTATTGAGCTGTAATCTATCAATATTATTGATTCGATGTTATTTAAACAACATTAATGTTGTTCATAACACTAATTCATTCATTCACTATAATGTGTATATATAACTGTAGAGCCTGATGATGAATTTATCGAAAAGAGTACTCTTTGTTCCGTGTCAATTCTTTTGAAGATTTAAAACTGATGATTCCCAAACTAGGATAAAACAGCTGACTGTCCAGTACTCCCTGGTATTCTATGGTTCTCTAACTGACACCAATCTATGGTCTTACTCAAAAAACAAATCTAATCCTTACAAACCAACTCTTGAAAATAAACTACATTGAATTAATCACGCAGAATGACAGGTGTGGATGTTTTTCAGGTCATGTTCAAATAGATAAGGGGAGGAAGGGAATGTGACGGATTAAATTTAAGATAAAATGTATTATACAGTTCAGTTACATCCCTTAAATAAACAATTAGTCACCACAGAAAGAACTTGAATGCATCAAGAATGGAAAACTGAGTAATATTGAAACGTATGATTTAAGGTAGTTTTAAATGAATCAGGAATAATAATAATAATAACAAGAGGCAGAATAAAGTATTAGTAATAATAATAAACAAAGCAAATTACCATTGCAGATTCAGAATGACGACCATTTTCCTCTGTACACAGACATCTGGTTTATAAACTCGAATATGCACAAGCCTCTGCAGTTGTAAGCATCCTCCTGTTCCTTTGTATGCTGACAATAGTGAATGACCAAATCTCCAAAAATACCCATTGAGTCATGAAGAAAATAAAAGACACATTTAGCGAAGAAACTGTTTTCTTTATCGACGAAATCATCTTCACAGGCTGGCTGTACAGTCGTATTTATACTTACCAAATGTATTATTGAGTAATACGGGGTGACATAATTGATATAATTACTCAGAAGTGGCTTTAGAAGTAAAAAAACAAAAGTTGTAAATTACGTGGTACTCAGCGACACAAAGTTAGAAATTTGATAAGGTTAAAATTGCTATTGAGTGAGAATAAAGGTGGTAGTTGAATGTCAGTTTCGCAAGTGTGAAGAGGGTGTGAAAATGTACAAAAGGAACATATGAGAGTGATAATAGTAAATTAATCATTTAAGTTAAAGCAAACTAAGAGTTAAATCGAAAATCTGAAAAAGAAAAAATTAAAATTATTTACAGGGAACAACTAGTGAAGAGGTTAAAACCATGTTAGAATAAGAGCCTGGACAAAGTTTTTCTGTATACAGAGTTCAGGGTTGTATTGATAAATTGCCAGAGCCTCCGCCATACACAAAAGCCGAAACCTAACGCCCTTTGTACCATTTGGCTTCACTTTGTAGATGATCTTGAAAGATGATTCTGATGGAGCTACGTGGTTTGACTTCACACCAAGAGCTCGAGAATGGAGCTAATAATTGTCTTGCATTTTCCTTTTGCTAACCGTACCAGATAATGTTCAGAGGTGCGTTTGGAAAGTGTGTGCCAATTTTTGCAGCTAATATAACTAGCTCCACATGAGCAGATGAATTTATAAACACACATTGACGTGACTTGACAGAGTCGATATCATGTCCGTAGTCCACAAGGTGCTTTGTTATTGAACTTTTAGGCACTTTTACTTCAGCTGTTTTCAACCATTTTGACAAATGCTCCATCATGCGAGTAGACAATCGCTTTTCTGCATGACCTATGTAATTGCTTCTACAAACACATTCAAATTGTAATAGGCAGCAGTTTGAAGTGTCGAGCATTGGCGAACATTTGTCTTTGCTAGAATGTTGAAGCACTCACTTGGTGGTGTTCAGTAAGGCGAGATTTGCAGTGTGTTAAGTTCTCTTGATAGCTTTATCACGTCTTCGTTTGATTACCTCTTGTACACATCATCTCCTTTGAAGGGTGAATCGATATTGACAGATTTCTTTTTTGAAATGTTGAGACAGATATACTGGGGTTCATTTCTTCAGAGTATTTAGGGATGAACTTCTCTGGATATCCATTCTTCGATAAGATGCCCTTCAAAGTCTTTATTTCATGTTCACTTGTACCTTCAAAACAAAATTTTCGTGCTCAACTGACCAGTGTCCTGACAAAGTTTTTTTTTTAAATTGGATTCGGAAAAAGCTTTACAAATGTATATACTGTCCCATTCAATAGTCATTTTCATCAAATAAACATCCAGGAACTTAATAGTATAACTTTCATCGTGTTCTATTATTTAAGCCCTGGTTTATCAAATATTCAATTATATTATATATATTATTATTGTTCCCTAGGGTTCCTAGTGGAACATAGGGCTTCAACTGCACGTCTCCACTTGCTTCTCTCTTCTGCTATACTTTTCAACTGTATCCATGTTAGTCCATACTGTTTCAACTCTTCTTCACACGATCTCCTCCATGTCATCCTTGGACGTCCCACTCGCCGCTTCCCCTTCGGGTTCCACTCGAGAGTTTGACGCACGATGTCACCCAGCGACCTCCTCAGCGAGTGTCCAATCCATCTCCACTTTCTCCTGCATATTTGTTGGGCGATTGGTTCTTGTTTTGTTTGTTCCCATAGTTTCTTGTTGGTGATTCTTTCCGGCCATCTGATCTTCAGTATAGAGCGAAGACAACTGCTGATAAAGGTCTGCAACCTGTTGGAAATATTATTTGTGACCCGCCAAGTTTCTGATCCATCCGTATAGAAGAACTGACCAACTTGACGTTTGTATTGAAAATCCGAATTTTGTTGTTGATGCTGACTTGAGTGAGGAAGATTTCCAGATTGGTTTCAGGTTGATGAATGCGTTTCTCGTCTTCCCGATTCTCGATTTGACATCCTCGTCCGTTCCTCCTGTCGTTGAGACAATGCTCCCTAGATAAGTGAATGAAGTAACCTCTTTCAAATCCCTCGCGTTGATGGTGATTGGCACTGGATGTTGTTGCTGTTGTTGTTGGTTGGTTGTTTTCATAACCTCCGTCTTGTCTATGTTCACCTGGAGTCCTGTCTTTGCTGCTTCTTCGACCAGTTTGTCGGTTTTCGCTTGTAATTCTTCGATTTTGTGTGACATCAAACATAAATCATCCACGCGCGAAATCCAGGTCTTCTAGGTTCTTCACGTCGGTCCAGGATATCCCTGTCTTCTCGTTTCCCACTGTTTGACGCATAATCCAGTCCACCACAATTAGGAATATCATTGGTGATAATAAGCACCCTTGTTTGACTGCTGTGTTTACTCGAAACGCCTTGCTGAGTTTTCCGTTGTGGATCACTTGACATGTGCCATTGTCGTACAGCTGTTGAATAAGGTTGATGAATATTTGAGGTACGTCGAAGTACTCGAGTAGTTCCCAAATTATTTCGCGGTCAACGCTGTCGAAGGCCTTCTCAAAGTCTATAAAGTTGAGGTAGAGGTTTGATTGACATTCCATGCTTTTTTCGATGATGATGCGTAGAGTTGCAGCTTGGTCAGAACATGATTTACCTTTCCTGAATCCAGCTTGTTCTGGTCGGAATTCTGCATCCATACTCAATTCTGATAGAAATAATCCGATATCACGTAGAAAAATCTTCAATTGCTTTGAAACTAGAAACAACAAACAACTATG